TTCTCGTACTTTATCTACAGTTAGTCCGTATCCCATTTTGCACACCTGTATGCAATAATCCACTATACTCTTTTCTTGAGTTTCATCAAAGATTCCTTTGGCTCCAATCTTCTGTTTGAACGCTTGTTTGGGAGCAGTGGATGTGTCTATGCCAGCTTTTTTCACCTTTTTAAGTAAATCATACAGATTGGATCTTGACGTTACATTGCCCAGCCAGAAACGGAAAGTCGGAACGATGTCGATTCGCTGTCGACCGCATCGATAAAATGGAGATGTCGATTGTCGCATCGAAAAATCACTAATTTCGATAACGCTTCAAGACGTCTGCTAACTGATCCAGGAAGCGGAAGAAGGGAATAACTCCATTTTGACCATTTTTCAGGAGCAACAAAAAACTGTTAGCAGGGAAATCTAAAACTGAACAATGGAATGTTATAGATGATAACAAGTTCAAAAAATGTAAGTTAAATTTTGAGATTAACTTCAGGAGTGTCAGGTCACTGCCTATAGGATATCTGTGACTTATCACTTTCCGCTAAAATGTAAAAGAGAGTCATCTCAACTTATATTTCTTTAACGAAGTGGAATTAGGAGACATGTCAAGTGGAACCATAGTCAGCAGAGAGTGTTGGTTCCACTAGTGCATTTTTTGGACTTAGCTCTTTTTTCCGTTTAAGTTCTTAAAATTAAAGGGGGGTAAGTTGACTTGATTCTTTTTACAATGGATACATAAAAACACAAGTTGAGTCATCTCCTATCAACAATAATATGTTGAACGGAGTCATGTTGACTTTGGTTGAGATGTATCCATTTTCCGCTAAATTGAGAGTGTAAAAGGGGTCAAGTTGAATTACATCTTTTTTCGAAGTGGATTTTCTCTTGAACTGCTAGGAATTGAGTCAAATAATTTGGTGCAATGATGCAAACCATTCTAACGAACAACGACATAATAAAAACTCAATTTGGAGATAAGTCTAATTATTCCCTTATTCCGCTTCCTGGATCAACTAACCTCAGGATTACAATTCGGCTGTTTATAACATCTACGCATCGATAAATGTGCCCCTGTACCGGAAACTACGGGGGCGTTCCACGTCAAACCATCATGGTCCAAAACGTACTTGCTCAGATCCGGCCCCCAATTTTTTATCTGGTAGTGTACCACCCAAAGACCACTCTCATAAATTTTTTTGAAAAAAAATTCAGAACTTTGGCCGCAGTAATTTTTTGAAACTTCCCAAAAAAAAATATAAATTTTTTTTTCAGTTTTTTTAAAATTGTGTATCTAGGTGCTCAAATGGGTTGAAAACAGTAAAGGGCAACATAAAATAGTGGGAAAAAAAATTGGGACCCCCAGCCCTTACCAGAAACAAAGTTTACGATTAAAAAAAACACGGTTTCTTGAATTCCCAAAATACGCCGTCTCACTTTTGGACCATATTGGCATCAAAGGACCCCAATGGGGTACTCTAACTGTCACTAAAAAATTAGGGACGGCAATCCATAAACACCAGAGATATTGTCAAAAAACTCTTAAAGTTATCGAAGGTTATCGAAGCTTTTTCCCCCAAAATTGTCAAAATGGGACCTATATTGGTTCCGCTGAGGCACTGTGCATTTAAATACTATTCAATTGTCTGTCTTAACACCATGGAAGATGTGAGAGAGGTGAAGGTCAGCATTACAAGAGTTTTGGAATTATACGGCAATAAGTTTTTAGGCACGAAGTAGCCTTATAGTATACCCAGGATTCAGCCGGCCCGAGATTCAATTTGTGTGGCCCTTTATGCATTTCGGAAATTTTCTATACGATTTTAATGAGATTTTGCAGACTTGTAGAACTTTGAACGCTGATTCTCATGCTGAAATCTGGTTAAAAAATTAACGGCCAATTTTGAGAAATTTGCTGTCAAAATCGCCGTTTCCATGGCAAAACTCGACTCGTCAAAGGAAAAAAAAGGGAGTGGGGGGAGCCGAGCCGGGGCGGACCAATAGCCGAACTTCTTTTTGGGTCTGTACAGCTTACTCCAAAAGCTGAAATAGCACGTTCGAAATGAAAAATTTCTTTGACTGCAGGTAGACAAGATGCAACAATAGAATTGGTGTCGGTTCGAACGCAGTTTTTCGGGTAGAACTATCCAATAATACTTCTTGATCGGAGTGTTTTTGGACATGCGCAGTAGGTTTGCAACCTTTTAAACAGTTTAACCAACTGTAGCATTTGAAATCTGTATTAATTTTGCTCTCTTTCTTGTTTTTTCTTTGTTTCCTGCGTACAAAAATTCATATAAAACAAATTTTCAATTTTTATGTGATAACTTTCTAAAAAAATATTCCCAAAAAATAAGCAAAGCAAAAGTTCTTTTTTTCTGACATAAAGTTTCTCAAATATTACTTTTTTTTTCTGTCAATAAAACAATTTTGTTGTTGTTGTGATTCAGTTAGCACTAGGACCACTTCGCTCCACCTCGCGACTTTCAGTGCTCATGTTCCTCGAACAAGACTCACCTGCGATTCGAAACCATCCCTCCTGAGTTTATAAAGTTTGTCAAACCAACCGTCGTGGTGTTGTTACGTTGTGAGTGAGAACCATTACACAGAATTGAAGAAAACATGACTAGAGAACCGTAGCCTTTTGAAACAAGCCAAACAATTCAACGTCAGCAACAATGGAGGGGCAGTTTTAATGCGCGACTACTCGTGTTTTCGGCTTCGCTTTTTTCGCAAGGGCGCAGACGTCGAAAAGATTGTTGCCAACCCGCGAAAGTTAATTTACTGCCTCCTTTTCCCCCACGAACATTTTAATAATAATTGACTTCAAAGATGTTCCACTGTGTAATACATTAGCATTGGAATTTTTCGAATTTTACGGCGTTTTGATTTCTTTTTGTTGCCAAGTTTAAATTTTGACGGAGGGACATCGACCACATTGGTACCACTGCCATTCGTACCCAAACCACCCCCTTTCCCTTTCACACAACTTTTTTCCTTTCTCCACACTCCTACACAATAACCATATTGACTTCGTGACTCCTAGGATTTCTTGAAATCGTATTTTTTTAATTATAATAACCAAATGCGACAAAATGCATTGTTTGGCAGTCGCCAACTGAAGCTCATTGATTGGTGGGGACTTCATCCGGGCCATCTTCACCTTGACCATGCAACTGCTGGAGACTTAAAGGAAGAAAATTAAGATGACCCGTGACCCGGAGTAAGTCCCCAGCAATCAATGAGCTTCAGTTGGCGACTGCCAAATAATGCATTTTGTCGCATTTGGTTATTATAATTTAAAAAAAACTTATTGCCGTATAATTCCAAAACTCTTGTAATGCTGACCTTCACCTCTCTCACATCTTCCATGGTGTTAAGACAGACAATTGAATAGTATTTCAATGCACAGTGCCTCAGCGGAACCAATAAAGGTCCCATTTTGACCATTTTGGGGGAAAAAGCTTCGATAGCCTTCGATAACTTTTACAGTTTTTTGACAATATCTCTGGTGTTTATGGATTGCCGTCCCTAATTTTTTAGTGACAGTTAGAGTACCCCATTGGGGTCCTTTGATGCCAATATGGTCCAAAAGTGAGACGGCGTATTTTGGGAATTCAAGAAACCGTGTTTTTTTTAATCGTAAACTTTGTTTCTGGTAAGGGCTGGGGGTCCCAATTTTTTTTCCCACTATTTTATGTTGCCCTTTACTGTTTTCAACCCATTTGAGCACCTAGATACACAATTTTAAAAAAACTGAAAAAAAATTTATTTTTTTTGGAAGTTTCAAATAATTACTGCGGCCAAAGTTCTGAATTTTTTTTCAAAAAAATTTATGAGAGTGGTTTTTGGGTGGTACACTACCAGATAAAAAATTGGGGGCCGGATCTGAGCAAGTACGTTTTGGACCATGATGGTTTGACGTGGAACACCCCTACGTCACTTTCGATACAGTGTCGAAATTAAGTCAATGTACAACGAACGTTGGAATAGCTTTCACCTTTCCCCGAACTTCGCGGAACCACTGCATTTTGATCAGTTAAGCGAAAAAAGTTAGAATTTCACCGTGGACTTGTAAATAGACGCGAAGGGCTTGGCCTCGATCATGGAGACAAGTCGCATTTTAAATCATCCCGCGTCTTTGATTCGCTGAGTGTTACCAACCTGAAACTTTAAGCAGAAAACCGTTAAACTTGTTTCGTGCCTTAAAAGTGAGTTTCTTGTATAAAATTATGGTATAAAAATCTATTTAAAATGTTTTTTTTTATTAAAATCGCTGCGTGTATTCACGATTACTTTGATACACGGATTTTCTTTCCAGCTCTCTTCACGTTTCATGCCTTCCCATGTAGGGTTTCCGGCTTCCCGAAGGCGTTGGGCGTCGCCGCACGGAAGGACGCCATTAGTGTTTGGTGGACATTAGCGGAGGTAGGTACGCCGCTCAAGGAATCCGTGACGATCCCTTGAATTGCAGTTGCATCTGAGTTCTTTTTATCAGAAATACTTCCTAAGTACTTGAAGATGCCACTAGACATGTTAGAATCTCTCCGTTAACTCTTAGTGTCTCCATTTTCGGTATTTGATAAGGACGCCGGCTCTTCCCGCCACTTTTGGCTTGGCCTTTATCTGTTCGAAATAATCGTCAATTAACTATAGCCTGTGTGAAATTTGATCCGTTTGCGTCATGGTCTGTCAAGCCATTATGAGTCAGTCAAGATTTCGTTGCGATGTGAGACTATTTCTGGTTAATGCCCGGACCTTAACCTCCCCGACGCGTCGCCGGCCGGTACGAGAGCCGCCTAGGCCTAGGCCTAGAGCTCCGATATTTGTTGCATTTGATCCTCATTCTGTGTTCTCTAGAGCTGAATCTTATCTTGTATTCGTAGCATTCATCGCCGTTTGGTAATATGTCACTCTTTTTCTCATTGGCTTGGCTTGTTTCAGGTTGCGATTGGGCTTCGTCGAGTACAGTGAATCTGCCATTGGTGTCTACTCCCTTTCCATCTAAGTGCAGCTTCTTTGGCGTCCTCTTCATAATGGATCTACCAGTAAGTTCCAGTCTCTAATATCCTGTGATCATGTCATTTAACCAAGAGAGCATCCATCGCCATGCGGTGAAGGTTACTAACAAGCGTATGCAGTTGGACCTTTTGCGAGCGGAGCTGGCACAAGCTTTCAATCCACCTCCTGAATCGTCTGATCCTATTGATTCCGAAGATGATTAACTCCTTGAGGGTGATGGTGTTGCTGCTGGCAACAATCTTTGTGCTGACATTCCAGCCACAGCCGAACCTGGTGCTGCAGATCTTGCTGCCGCTGATCTTCCTGCTGCCGTTGCTGACGATTTTGAAGCGAATGTAGTTCATGCAGATCTTGTTGCGGCTGATCCCAATTTGGTGGTCCAGGATGACAATCAGAATGTGCAGTTTGAAAGTTCCAGCAGTGAATCTAGCGAGGAAGAAAACTTTACCGATGAGGAGGATGGTGGGCGTCCAGTGTTCGCTAATGACCATGATAGAGAGCAGTATGTTTTAGACACGGTCCGTGAATGGGCCCAGGAACCAGGTGTCCTCTCGATGACCAAGTTGGACCATTTGCTCCATCGCCTGGCTTTGGTGTTTCCCCGTATGCCACTGACTTACACAACTTTATTTGCTTGTGATTATGAGTTTAATTTCATTGACATTGAAGGTGGTCAGATGTGGTTCAAAGGTATTCAAACCAATTTAAACAGGTTAAACCTTGAGGAATATCTGCACAAGTTTCAGAAGATATCTATTGACATTGGTATAGATGGCCTGCCCCTCCCGTCTTACAAATTGTGGACGATTTTGGGCTACATAGTTGGCACTGATAATCCACCATTTATAATTGCAGCTTATAAAGGTGTTTCTGACCCAGGCAACGTGCATGAGTACCTGGCTGACTTTGTGGCAGAGCTTCAGCACTTGTTCAATAATGGATACGTTTTAGAAGGCGTCAGGTATGAATTTGAGGTCAGAAATTACATCTTGGATGCACTTGCGAGACAGTTCATAAAATGTATCGTGCGCCATAATGGCTATGGGGCATGTGAAAAATGTGAAGTGTATGCACCCAGAAAAATGTTTTCTTGAATCAAGTAAATTATTTTACTTGTTTAAAAATACTTGATTACTAGTCTTGAATCAAGTGCGCCAATTCTTGAATCAAGAGAAACACACACGTCTCAGTTTCAAGAGCATTATGGTTTTTACTCAACACTGCAGGCCGCTGCAGACGACGGGTCGAGTAGGTCGGGTGGGGTGGGGAACGTGGGAGGGGGAGAGGGAGGGAGCTCAGCTGAGCCGAGCGCTGACGCGAACCCGGAGCCGAGTGGAGCCGAAGCCATACGAGTCGAGTCGGGGTCCAGCCGAGCCGTGCCGAGCCCCTGTGAGCCGAGCCGCTGTGAGCCGAGCCGGGTTCGGGCCACCGAGCCGAGGCCGCCCGCCGCCGAGCCGGCCCGGCCGGCAGCCAGCCGGCAAAAGCAAGTCCTTTCTTGCGTTGCGTCGAGTCGAAGCCAGCTGCATCATGTCTGATTTGACGGAGTTTTTGACGGCGTGCGGCCTGCCGCACCTCATCGCGAAATGCGAAGGTGGGTACTTGGTTCAACTGTTCTTCCTGTGAGTCTGTGAATTCGCGAAATCTCTCGGAGTTAGTCCAGCTTCGTTCGCTGTGTTGACGAGCCGCTTGACCTACCACTAGGTTAGGAGGGTCGTCTGTTGTTTCATGTGGTTCCGTGGGAGCTCGGGCCACACTCCAAAAAGTTGCTCTTGATTTGAGTTGCCCATGTTGAGAGAGCGAGAGAGAGAGAGCTGTCACGTGAATGCAAAACATGCCGTGGATCTGTGTTTTCGGTTTTCGCTTCGCTTGGGAAGGGGCGGGGGGTGGGGCGAGGGCAGCCGTGGACAGTGTCGCAGCAACAAGCACAGCGGCTGCGGCTGGCTGCTGGCTGGGCACATCAGCTGATCAGGGCACGCAGGCCATGCCTTCGCTCAACGAAGGTGGCACATTGTTTTACGTCAAATAGACTCGTTCACGTGAGCGGGCGAGGACGGCAGACGCATAGTAAGCAGGCTTATCGTAACACTGCTTCGTGTCTGTCTCTCTCGCGCCTGTTCGGTACGCCCTTTGTAGGCCAGAGGGAGCCGGGGAGAGGAGGGGCGGGGGGCGGTCACAACAACAGTCTAATGCCGAGAGTCCTTTTCGTCACTGTCCCTCTCGCACTCATGGGGCGCACGGTGGGCCAGAAGACGGAGAAGGGGGGAAAAAATTCGAGACGCGTTTTGAGCTCCAGAGTCGCTAAATGGGACTCGAACCAAACGTGTGACCGTACCGTGACCCCACCAATGGATCGGTTCGAGTCCCATTTAGCGACTTTGTAACTCAAAACGCGTATAGAATTTAGGCCACCTCCACCGGTCTTGGTCCACTGTGCGACTCTGAGTGCGAAAGAGACGGCGACGAATCGGAATCGGTCTACAGCAGACTGATTCCGAGAGTCGTTTTCGTCGCTTTGCCTCTCTCGCATTCACGTGGCGTCCGATACAGGCGCGAGAGAGAGAAAGCTACGAAAACGACTCTTGGAATCAGTCGTTTTCGTCGCTGTCTCTCTCGCACTCATGGGGCATCCCGAATGGGTGTGTGTGTGTGTGAGAGAGAGAGAGATAGCGACAAAAACGACTCTCTGAATCAGTCCGCAGGGTGGATTTTGCTCAATGCGTGGACGTCTGTCTTTCTCTCTCGCACTCGTAGGTTGTCCGTGTAGGTGCAAGAGAGTGAGACGGACACACAGCAGACTGATTCCGAGAGTCATTTTCGTCGCTCTGTCCCTCTCGCACTCATGGACCTTCCCTGTTAAGTGCGAGAGAGACAGGGCGATGACAACGACTCTCGGAATCAGTCTACAGTGGGCCAGAAGATCGGTGGAGCCGGCCACAATTCTAGACGCGTTTTGAGCTCGTGAGTCGCCAAACTGGACTCGAACCGAGCGTGCGACCCCACCTCCGAACGAGGAATCCATTGGTGGGGTCACACGCTCGGTTCGAGTCCAGCTTAGCGACTCTGGTGCGTGAAAAGCGTCTCGAATTGTGCCCGCCTCCAGCGGTCTTCTGGCCCACTGTAGGACAAATGCTCTGCGTGCTATCACCCAGCAGAGAGGGAAGGAAGAGGGAGACAGACAGGGAAAAGACTTAGGAAGCTTATGGCATAGAATTCGCTTACTCTGGAATAACTATAGGGATTAACAATTGTGTATTTATTTGCTTTGATTCGCAGACCTCAAGCACACTCGGAGCTCTCTGGTTTTGTGTGAGAGGAATGACCTTGCTCAAATTACACCATACCCAGGGGAGCAGGTGACGCTGTGGGCAGCGATAAGAAAGAGAGAGCACCCAGAATCAGTTGTGCCCCCTCCAAAGAGACAGCATCCAGAAGCGGTTGTGCCCCCTCCGAAGAGGCATCAAGTGGTGAGTACACTCTGAAAACCTTACTAAGTACTGTAGGCCTTGTAAAGAGTAGTAGGTTGTTGTAATTAAGTATTTTTGAGCATACATTATCTTGCAGAGGAAATACTTTGTAATTTACTATTTGTTTTTTTTTAAACTTGACCGTGTAAGTAATGTATTTTTAATTTTGTTTTCTTATGTTGTAGGATGATTGCCCCCCTAGTACCAGCAGAACTGTTGCAGCGGGATCATTTGCTGCGAGCACGAAGGTCAATCACATTTCCAATATAAAGTTCGTTGAAGATATGGTAAGCTACATAAATATTTTGTCTCACTCCCTTCTGTTTTTTTTTTGTTTCAAGATCATAATTTAATATTGCATTTTTCTTCTCTGTAGAATGTTGAAAGTGTCCTTCGGGCTGATTCTGTGGGAAATGAAATTGTCGAATCTTATCAAGCCCATGATTGTGATGATCCTGCCAGCCTGAGTGAATCACAAAGGCACAAGATAGTTCAAGTGTTGATTGAGAACATTCGTGCTAATACAGAGAAGTAAGTGATGTTACCATTGCATTTTGCTTGTTGTCACATGAGGGGTCTGCCACTGACTAAAGGCCAAGCATGTGCATGTACAATCAGTGCAAGTAGTGGCAGAGCCTTTCGGCACATTGTGTCCATTCTATTAATGTATGAATTTTTCAGTTTCGATTTTAAGCTGCTGGCCATTGTGAGTAAGAAAATTGTTGAGCTGTTTCCATCTGAGTGTGAGGTATGTACTACAATTAGTACAGCTAGCTTTTATCTGCATTGCTTACCGTGGATACTCATTCTAATTCTTATTTCCAGGCAACCTACTACATTGGTCCAAAGGAGCAAGGCCCAAAGCAGGTCACAGCCCTTGGTAGGCTTTCTAATCGACTACGTAACTGTCGCTCCAAACCTAAGCCTAAGAATCCTTCACTGCCAGACAAGATTGCCAGTAACTTGGGGTCTATTCTTGAGAAACGTAAGTGACAACATTTGTTGCTCCTGTTTAAGAAAGGGATTTTTCGTATGAGGTTTTTTATTTGCTGAAATTATTGAATTTGGGCGTCACATTGTGCACTACAAGCATGGCAGTGCTCGTCTCTCATGTTACCATTGAAAGTGAATGTTTCACACACAGAAGGTTTTGCCACCCTTGTTAGTGTACTGAAGTGAAGGGAAGAGCCCTTCTTTCCCTTTTGAATGCATTTTTCTGATTCTGATAGTAATTGTTTGTTTCTTTATTTTTAGCAATCACTGAGGAGATTGAAGAAGCCAAGGCCTGGCTTTCCACAGGACGCTGCCCTTGGCCAGAGGTATTGAGGAAGTGGACAGCCACTGCACCACTACGCTTCAAAGCACTGTTCCATGGAGACGATGATTACATCAACTCATACCTTAAAGAGTGGCCCGTTCTGACTCATAAGTCAGGTTTTGAGCTGGTAAGGTTCTTTTGATTTTAGTACGTTATTTTTCTTCCTCTACATTAAGCTATTTTGTTGATCGCTCAACTGAACCCTCACTTGGCCCTTCCTAATTTTTGCTCCATTTTACAGTTT